GAGGAGGGTCTGTGCATGACAGCCCCCGCAGAGTGCTCCTCCCACCATGCATGCATGCATGCTCTCACCAATGAAGGAAACAACTTCACAAATTTTGTTAGAGGGCATGTGGGCCTCGCTAGAGAAAGACAGAGAGAGAGGGCAAGTGTGAGAGCCCCTCCCGGGCCTACCATGCCCAGCCCTTTCTCCTTCATTCTCTGAAGATGTGGGCACGAACATGCACCCGGTGTGTTTTCCAGGCTGCCGGGTCCCGGACTCGAACGGCACGGTTGGCCACATGGGATCCAGCTGCCTTGGCCAACACTTTAAATAAAGTGTTTATTGAATGGATGTATGACTATTTATAAGATTTCACTGTCTGATATGAAGAGTCTTCCAAAAATCCATAGACAATGTGTATTATGAAAAAAAAAATGCTTAGATTTCAACGTTTGGGACACTGAAGTGAACTGGTGCCTCATTCTCCGCAAGCGTGCGGGGTTCCCTCCTACCCGAGGAAGCGATGTGCACAGGCTGTGTGCTGCATGTGCTGCTGAGCCCTCTAGGGGATAAGTACTATTTTTTAAAGGAATTATTTACTTCATTTTATTAATAATAATAATTATTATTATTATTTAAAAATTTGCTATAGGGCACACGTGCTAACCAGAGAGACAGAAAGAGAAAGTGAGAGAGCAAGCCACGAGGTCCAGGACTCGAACCGTGGCTGGCCTGTGGGAGGGATCCAGCACCTTAATCACCATGCCACTGCTGGGCCTGGAGGTAAGCCCTACTAATACTACCACTTTCCGGGAGGGGACTGAGGTTTGGGCCTCCTGCATAACAAAGCCCCGTGTACAGCTACCAGGGGAGCAGTTGGTTCTCTGAAGCTGCCTCTTTGAGATTTAGGGTTAGAGCCTTGGGAATTAGAAGGGACTTTAGAAGTTAAAATAGAAGCTTCTCTATAAGTAAAAATAGCGCCCATGGAAACTCCGTAGCTGCTGGACACAGCCAACTGTGCTCACGTGATGTCATGACAGCTGCCCACATGCGACTCCATGGGGAAGAGATGTCAGTTTTCTATGTCACCAACTTGAGCCCCCGTGGCCCCTCTCCCCCCGTGGGGTAAATGCCAAAAGGAGACTGTCCCCTGGGGTGTCAGGCAGCACTTGCGTGCTCGGCCAGGGGCGGAGTGGGAACAAGGCAAGGCAGCTCTCTGGGTTCATGGAGTGTGCAGTCTGGGATGGGCATTCTGCGCCCCAGGAAAATAACTGGGCTTGAAATGGACACTCTGTGGGCAGTTCCAGCCAGGGCCTCCACACAGTGCTGGGGTATCCCAGCTGCAGCAGCCAGCCCCATTACTGGACTCAGACCGAGCACGCAGAGGGCCCTGGGGTCAGACCCTCACAACACGGATGCTCTTCCGCTCCAGAGTCAACAGTGCCACGACGTCCCCGCCCACCCCACAGGGCGCTTTGGGGGCCAGCCCGGCCTCGACCCTCCACGGGGCCTTTGCACGTCCTGGGCCCCTTGTCTGAATCACATTCAGCTCTCTGCTCCCAGTCACCAGCTCCTTCTCACCCCTCTCTCACCCACCCTGCAAGCTCTTTCATTTCCTTGGTGTGCGGACCACCCAGCCTGGGAGGGCCTTGTTAGTCTGGGGTTGTCTGCACCCCACATCTCAGACTGTAAGCCCCAGCTTCCAGGCAGCTGGCCCGCATGGCTGCCACGCTCTGCTTCCAACGGGAAGGATGGTGCCCAGTGTGGTTCTTGGAGAGGCCTCATGTCCCGGCCATGACCAGGGGCGTCTGCTCCTCTTACAGCTCCACCCGGGGATTCAGTTCACTTTCTGGCTCCCATTCGTTTACTTGATTTGCTAAGGGCACTTGCCAGAGAGACAGGGAGAGATCACCCTCCATTCCCATCCTGTTGTGTCTGGGGGTACACACGTATCTGTCCTGTTTTACAAGTCCCCAGAGCCACAATTCACACTGGGGCTGGCCGTGTGGGATCCGCCTCCTGGAGCCATTAGAATTGGACAAGCTCAATTCTAATTGTTAAAAAGCTCAAGCATTGGGACCACAGGTGGCTCTGCGTTCCCACAAGGTTGACTGGTGACTTGAAAAATCACAACAAATAAATAAATAAATAAATACATGTTTGTAAAAACAAAACAAAAATCGTGATGGTCTTATCTTACGTTATTTGGCTCAAAATCCTACAGAACAAAAACTTGAACAGCCAGCCACTGGAGAATGAAAAGAACATCTGCTGCTGTCGCCCCCACCCCCACCCTAGGCTCCTCTGGGCGGTTAGAATGTATCTTGAAAAGCAGTTAGTGTATGTCGCTGGACTCCCATGTAGTCGACCATGGTTTGCGTCCCGGACCTGGTGGCTTAAACTCACACCAGGCGCGTGTGCATGCGTGCCCAAGATCCCAAGAGGAGAACGGAGGAGAAGGGATTGCAGCGTGGCCATCCCCCCTGGGGGGTGATTTCTCGCTTTCTGTCTCTATGTCTCTCTTGATCTTTCTGGCAATCACATGTGCCCTACAGCAAAAAACTCTCAAAAAAACAGAATATAAATATATACACACACACACACACATATATATGTGTACTATTTATTTAATTTTTGTTTATCATTATTATTTTTTAATTTGTCCAGAGAGAGATAGAGAGAGAAAGCAAAAGCAAGCCACCAGGTCCAGGACTTGGACCTTGGCTGGCCATGTGGAAGTCCAGCACCTTGGCCACCACGCCACCTGCCGGCCCCAGTAGACTGGTTTTTAACAGTTTGCAGCACAGCTGAGCACCCCTATGGGGACTGCTCACACACACCCCGCCCTGCACTCGGGCAGCCTCCCCACTGCCAACACCCCACGGGGGGCCATTAGTTACAGTTGATGAACCTCCATGGACACATCGCTCCCACCCAAGTCCACCATTTTTTGTTTTTGTTTTTGTTTTTTTGAGAGGTTTTTGCTCTAGGGCATGTGCGCTCGCCAGAAAGACAGAGAGACAGAAAGCGATACGCCGCAATCCCTTCTCTTCCATTCTCCTCTTGGGATCTTGGGCACGCACGCACACGCGCCCAGTGTGAATTTTAAGCCACTGGGTCTGGGACGCGAACCGCGGTCGACTATATGGGAGTCCAGCGACATAGCCATTACACCAACTGCTGGTCCCCAAGTCCACCTTTTTTGTTGTTGTTGTTGTTGTTGTTTTTGAGGGGTTTTCGCTATAGGGCGCGTGCGCTCGCCAGACAGAGAGAGACATAGAGACAGAAAGTGAGAAATCACCCCCCAGGGGGGATGGTCATGCCGCAATCCCTTCTCCTCCATTCTCCTCTCGGGATCTTGGGCACGCACGCACACGCGCCCGGCGTGAGTTTTAAGCCACCGGGTCCAGGATGCGAACCGTGGTCGACTAGGTGGGAGTCCAGCGACATAGCCATTACGCTAACTGCTGGTTCCCCCCCAAGTCCACCGTTTTGAAGTAGGATTTTCAATGGGTGAAAGTGGGGTTGGGGTACAGTGGGGGTAGAGGAGGGCATGTCTGGGGTGGGAGGAACATGAGCGGAAAGAGGAAAGGGCAGGTTGAGCTTGGAGCTGGCAGGGCGCAGTTGAGCCGCGCAGGCTGGGTGGTGGCGGAGCAGGCCGGCCGTGCTGTCAGTGAGAAGTTCCGCTTCACCCCCGCAGGTGTGGAAAGCCAGGGCGCTGCAGCTGAGGCCCTAGCGCTGGGCTGTGGGGCAGAGGCCAGAATGGGTGGCGGCTGCCTGGAGGTGACACATCCTTGGCCTGGGTAGTGGCGGCGAGAACAAGGAGTCACTGTGGCACTTCAGACACCCTAAGCCCTGCCAAAGTCCAGTCTCCTGAAGTGCCGGTGCTGGCAGGCGGGGCTCACCTGACCCCAGGAAGGGAGGAGAGTGGAGGACAGGCAGAGCTGGGGACTGCCCAGGGTGGAAGGCAAGCCACCCCTGCTCAGGGGCCAGCCTTGGCGGCTTTGGATGACCCCTGGCGGTTGTTCTCTCTTTAGACCCCAGGAGTCTGTGTGTGTGTGTGAACGTGAGGCAGGGAGGGGTCAGGGCGCAGGGAGCAGACGCTGGCGCCGGATGCTCTAAGCCTGACCGGTGAAGTACAGGGGCAGGCGCTTGGTCCCTGAGGCCAGCCCCGAAAGGCACTGGCCCCCACTGGCCTCTCCTCCCAGCGCCTGCCGGAGCAGGGCCACCTCCGTGAGCAGGCTGAGGGCGGGCAGGCCTGCGCCCAGCACCTCTGCACCTGGCAGCCGGCCCCACCCTCACCCACCCTCCCCACTCTGCAGAGAGCTGGTGTCAGTACCCCAGAGCCACACTGCCCAGAGACCCCGCCAGGCTCTTGGAGCCACACTCCCTTCCCACTGGATTCTGCAGCTGGGTTTTAAAGGAGTTGTGAGAATGTATCGGGAAACGCGTTCGAACCCTTCAGTGGACCAGGACGCGAGTGCTTATGGTGCTTTACTCCCCGTGCCGGGAGGAGGCAGCCCGGGTGGCCTCCAGGAGGTGGCCGGCTGAAGGGGGGAGGGGGTCTGCCCAGAGTATTGCTCCGTGCTGGGAGAAACGAGCTGGTACGCAGAGAGGACTTCAACGCATGTTACCAAGAGAAAGAGCCCCCCACTTCGGAAGCCCCAGCGCCCAGCAAGACGCCTGTCGGAGCAGGCGCCCAATGACCCTCTGCTCGTGCACAGCGAGGCCCCCTGGGCCGCGCAAGTCTACCCAGCACGAGGTCCCCAGCACAAGACCCCGCCGCGCTCTGCACCAGACGCGCATGCGCGCCGCGGACGGTTGCTGCC